TTATGAATACATTTTACTAATCTTGTGACATTACGTAATAATAATCATGATCTATAAGAATATATCATAGCGATGGAAGCAATATAAATCATTGAAGGTTATTTTATTACTGTTAAGCAATTTTAATATTAGACAATCAAATGTGTTGTACTCTAATACGTTGTTGTAGAACATGAAACATCATAGTCAAATCTTCTACTGTTTTTTGTTAGATATACTCTGATTAAATGAATTTCAAAAAGATTCACTACAGTACTACTCAAATGCATTAAATAAAAACGACGAAATAAAAGATAAGTTACATTGGCACAATGCATAAAGATAGTATTTTCAAGATTGTTACTTTTTAGCTGTATCGACCCTATTTGATTTTGAGTTTGTATGACTTTGGTGAAGAATCTGAAGAGAAAAATAGAATAAGTATTTTTCAGATAAAGATACTTACCAAATCATCAGAATCATTGAATATAGGTTCAGCTTTTCTTAAAAGATTTTCTGCCAGCTGATATCTATAATATTGAACATTGGAGTTATTAATAATAACAAATTTTTTCTCTTGAATATAAGCAAGTGTCGGAACCAAAAGATGTCACCACAGGATGAGATATCTATTTGTTGAAATCTTTTATCATTATTTGGACAATATAATTTCCATTCATTATCAAAATCGATAGTGGTTCCTGTTTTCAGCGTGTGTTGTATATTTAAAAAGTTTCTTAAACGAGTCATATTCTCCAATCGAGGAATATCATGGGATGGCATAGAATCGAGTTCAATAATCAGCTTTTCATTTCGATCAAATACCAGTATATACCAATGGTTGTTTTGGTTGATGGGACACACTATAATGCAATATGAAAGCCATATACAATCTAACTTGTTTATTCTTCTACGAAGTATGTTTGACACGATGTAACTAGATACAGCTAATACACGATTTTCTACTGTAGCAGTAGTTGTGACGACATATAAAGACGAATTAATTATTATATCATTCAGTAATCCTTCTATGTTGTAGAGACAAGTGATATCAGTAGCATTCAACTCGAAATGATCAACGTCAAACTGTCGACTGAAAGATGGAAGTAAACCTTTTACAACGTCAATCACTATGTTATCCGGTTCAGGTAATGAATTCAACTTGCTTTGATCAATAAACACTTTTTGAAGACCAGTTAAAGTAAAAGCATTAGCATCCGTTTCGTATGCAAAAACCACCCATTTCGAGGCCAAAACAGTGTGTTGAATAAACTGTAGCCATCGTGGTTTTTTCTCAGGAATAGAATTTCGTCACCTTCTCGTACCACTAAGACAATTTGGGCACTATATTCTCCCCCGGACAAAAAAAACGGCCTTTTTCTATTAGCTCGTTCTCCTCTATAGTTCAATGCTATATCTTTAATTTTTTATATATAGATAGAGCGTGTGTTAAAATACATATGTATATAAGAAAATCTACTTCACTGACTTTCTGTCTCAAACATCTGAGATATATACAAAAAGGTATGATTTTCCTACTATCAAGCAAATACCAGTAATAATGTATCTTGTGATAAAACATAAAAATAAGTTAAGAAAAGACGATAATTCAGATGAAGTGGAGAAGAACAGAGATGCACCTGACTAGACGAGAACAACAATGAGGAAAAAATTAAAAAAAAAGAACAAGAAAAAGAACGATAAATAAACCATAGCGCATATATAAGTGATAATCGGTGAAATTGATTCATAACTAAAATGTCTCATTTGAGTGATATTGAACGAACACAAATAATAATGGAAAGGGAAAGAGATGGAACCAAGATATCAATTATTGCAAAGAATCATAACTGTGCATCTTCTACGGTGAGACGTGTATTGGCCAAGGGGGAAAAAGCGAGACTTCATCTACTTCAAAAAAAATTTGAAGTACGATTGAAGTACAGTGAAGTACGAGTGAAGTACAGTGAAGTACGAGTGAAGTACGTGAAGTATGAAGTCTCGCTTTTTCCTCCTTGAGGGGTACCCTTAGGTCCTCAAGTCCTACTTTTGAAAAAAATTTTTTTTTCGAAATTTTTTTTTTTATACAGAAATAGACTTTTCGAGAAAAAAAAAATTTTTTTGGGAACACCCAAAATTTTGTTCAAAAAAAATTTTTTTTTCGAAAAAAGTCTATTTTTGTATAAAAAAAATTTTTCGAAAACAAAATTTTTTTCAAAAGTAGGACTTGAGGACCTAGGGTACCTCTACGAGTGAACTACGCGTGTAGTATAGTGAAGTACAGCTGAAGTACAAGTGAAGTACAGCTGAAGTACAAGTGAAGTACAAGTGAAGTACGGTGAAGTACGTGAAGTATGAAGTCTCGCTTTTTCCCCCTTGGTATTGGCTCGTTACCATGAAACAGGTGAAATAACTGGTGGACAATCGTCCGGTCGTCCGTGCGCTCTTTCGAGCGCCGAAAAAAGAAAATTAGATCGAATAATTAAATCAAAACCAACAGCTACTGCAACATCTCTTGCTAATGAAACACTTGAAAAAACTGGTAAACGTGTTAGCTCTAGAACTATCCAGCGTCATCGACGTGAATTAGGATATCGTCCTTATCATCAAAAAATAACAAAATCGCTCACGTCAACGCAAGAAGAAACCAAAACTTCTTTTGCTCAAGCACACGTCAACGATGATATAAAACGATGGTTATTTAGCGACGAAAAGATATTTACAATGAGTGACGTGGGTACTATTGCTTGGTGTAAACCTGGTGAACCGAGACCTGTACATGCTGTTGATAATATCAAAGCACATGCACAATTATGGGTTGTTATTGGTTGGAATTTTAAAGCTTTTAGCAGGTATGATGGGTTTATGAATTCAAATATTTATCATGATCTTCTATCAACATATGTTCAACCACATACTTCAAAATTAAGAAGA